AAAACAGTTTGGGGGGAAGCAGAGCTGATGACATGGAATCTGTACTGTCTTTTACCCAAAACTCTTTGCTGTTGTTCAGAAAGACTGAAGTGTCTGTGTGTCACCCATTATATTTCTTCAAATCGATTTAGATCAGTCAGGAAGGGAACAGGAAAAAAATGCTCTGGATACCGTGCATCACAGCAGGATGTGCAAGTGAGACAAAAGCCCAGTTTGGTAGCTGGAGTTCTTTAAGACCCTGCAACCGATGTATAGAACAAAGAAGAGAAACTGTAGTTTAAGATGTAACATGTAAATTGTATCGGTGTTACATGCAATTAACACCTAACCAAGTATTTCATGGTTATTTTAGTAGATGGCAACTGGTTCTAGTGACGACCAATTTGTGAGGCTAGCAATGGACTCAGCATGAAACAAAGACAAATAAACAAAACAACCAGTAGTGCACAGGAGGACTTTACCCTGATGCAACCAACAACATCTGCATCAAGCAACATCTGTGATGCTCAGCCGTATGCATTTCAAACATCTGGTCTTCTATCAGATACAGACAGAGATAATGGCGTCTCTGCACATCTCTAACAGGTAGGAGACCTGAAAACATTCATACTGTCATTGTTTTTATTTAGGGCCACTGACCAATTTTTGGAAAAGAGCAGAAATTCTGAAACAAACCTAAGGGGAAACCGTGGAAACCGTTAAACACATGCAGCATCTCTATGGTCCACTGATTAGAGGAGAAAACTGTGGTTGTGAAGCTGATACAGAGTTTAAAAAGCAGTCAATAAAATATGCAAAACTTTTATTTTGTTCATTTTTAATCCTTTTTTTTTTAATGGGCTGTCATAATTCCAATCTTTCTATCATTCTCCCTTTGATGAAGAAAAAGACTCCTCAATATTGCACCTCTTTATCAGCTTTCAGTCCTCATTAGACTCCACTCCCGTCCACACAAGCCTTGTGATTGGGTGCCGAGCCAACGCAGCGCTTTCACTGAAATTTGCTACATATTTTACTGAAGGCAGCCTCGGGCTATAAATCATCTTCTGGCTGTCTAGATGTATGAGTGTACTCACACACTCTGATTCTGCATGTGTGTGTATTTGTTGTTCACAACCACCGATGCAAAGGTCAGGCTTATCAAGAGCTGTGTGCTTTTAGCGGCACCATCAACACACATCTGGAGGATTTCCAGTCATCACACTCAGGAGAGGCTCAAAAAGAGTGTCACTCATCGCTTTTGGAACAGTCGACTGTATTCACATTACAAAAATTAGTTGACACTTTCAATTACAGCAACTGCATTTCATAATTACAGCCTAATTAGAGAGTGAGAGGATAGAGTCTGCGGCGGCATTTGCATGGAAGGCATTTAACTGACACTGAGAAACGGCGGGGAGCTATAGGGACCGGCTCTCTGTGGCTAATTCAACACATTCAGCTGTCACTTTTTAGATGATTCCATATTAATTACATTACCACGGACCATCAGTTGTGACAACTTTGTGTTCGGCTCTTCAGTATTACAACTGAATGCCATGAAATCCTCTGTCTGTGTGGAATAGGACAACAAGGATTCTACTTTCTGGACTTTGACGTGTGAAGGCTCTCCACCCCCCTGTTTGCAAGATGGAAGAGATCATTCAGGAGAAAATGATTGTCTGTAATCTTGTGAAATTACTGCACAGCAAAACAACACAAGCAAGCAGAGCAGAAGACGAGCTCTTTGACCGTGGCATACGTACAGTGACAAAAGGTCAGCGACAGATGAAATATTGTTTGATTTCAGACTTTGTGAACTGCTGTTGCCGGCTCACTATCCATGGCAGCACCAACACTTTAGTGATAAGTGCAGTTTATAACTTCAAAACTTTCCTTCAATGTCATGTTCTGCTGGGAAACCTTGGGTCCTGCCATTCATGTGGATGTCACTTTGATAATCAATACCCACCTAAACATTTTTAACAGATCAAGCACAGCACCCTATGGTAGCAAAATCCTCAGCAGCAGCAGCAGCAGCCTCCCCCAGCAGGATGGGAGGAATGGGCCCTGCCACGCTACAAGAACTGCTCTAGAATGCCTCTAGGGGCAAAACAAAGAAGGTTGTGACAGGCCTCCAAACTCCACAAATGCTCAATCTCAAACCATTTAAGTCTCTTCAGGATTTGCTGGAGCAAGCCTGATCCATGAAGGTCCCACCTCAAAACACAAAAGACTGACAGTACCTCTTTTTGACCAAGCTGGTTCCAGTGCCAGAGCTTGACTTAGCAGCAGTTCTTAGTGTTTCCACCACCTGAGCACCGGCTCCAGGTTCTCAAAACTGGTGATTACCAAGTCTTTGCTGGGCCAGACCTAAGAACCAAGTACGTCAGGGGCTGGGGGCGGGGTTATCGTGACCAACGAGACCGATGGAAACATAGAAACAGCATTTTTAAAACAACGGCCGAGCGAGTAGCTACATTTCTGAAAAACGAAATACATAAATATGGACGCCAAATCCAAGCAGCAGTGGTCTGAGGAGGAGACCCAGTGCTTCCTGCAGACAGTTATGAGCAGCGCCTCGACCAACTCCTCAATAAACTCAAGAAACTGAAAAAGAACTACAGGGACCAGAAACAGCTCCGTATGCAGTGACGTTTAACAGTGACACAATGGCGTGACTCTAACTTGGCTCCTTGCCAATGGAAAAGCAAACAGGTTCTTAGGAGGTGCAAGATTTGAACCAACTAAGCACTGGCACTAGCACCAGCAACGAACTAGCCCCTGGTTCTTCTTGGTGGAAAAGGGGTCCACTGCCGCCGCTCTGGTACCAAAACACCACAGAATTCCTCTGGAGGTCTCGTGCTGTTTTCGAGCTGGTTTCAAGCCGCAAGAGTGACCTACACAGTGTTATGTGTTGTGATTGATTTGGTGTATGTTGACAGACCTACCAATGCTATTACCGACGCCCATTCTGCTTTTGGCTCAAATATATTTCACCAGGCAGATCTCCTTCTGACAGCAACATAAAGATGTGAGATTGAAACCCAGAACAAACTGCAGAGTGTGCTCAGTGTAAAACCATCTATACTCTACCGCTGTCTCCCGCCGTCATCTCGCAGAGGAATTTTCCCTCAACGCTTTCAAGTGGAGCTTTCTCACCCTGATCTTCTCACTGAGCGACACGTTTCACTCGGCGTACATCAGCATAAAGCAGTAAATTTCCATCAGCCGCTCTGACAGCTGACGTCTTCAGGGCAGGACTCTGGAGAAGTCATTACGGCCGCTGCTGTCCACTTCCAGAGCAGTTTCTCAACAGTTCTGCTTTTTTTTTTTTTTTTTACACATTCATCGGGGATTAGAGTCGCAGTTTTAAACACTAGCCTGCTCAACCTTGTAAAGAATGAAAAAGTCTCAGCGTTGTAACGTGATGTCTTATTAAATCGCTCTGTGTCCCTTCACCCACATGATGCCACACTGCTGTCTTGATCCGGGGTCAGACCACTGCTGGCCGGCTAATAGCTCTCTACATTTATGATTTATGGCAGCACCAGCGTCAGAGTGCATTAAATCCTCACCTGTGCGTGCATGTGTTTATACATGTGACAGAACTGCGACAGAATAAGTTTATGGCTGTGTGTGTATATATCATCAATTTATCTCTGTCATCGCTGCTGTGACTTTCAGATAAAACATGATGTAGGAGGGGAAATGCCTGCGCTGAGTTGGAGACAGCTAGACAGGCAGGCGGGCGGGTTGAGAGCTACCACACTCCACTCAGCCCCTCTGCCTAAAACATGGTGTCAAAACCTCGGAAGATATCTCGGCAAGTAGCTGCGTCACTGCACTTTTCCAGAATAAACAAAGCTTGTGGGGCCAAACAGATCATGCTGAAAGTTGCGCTATAAATATTTCCCTCCTCTCACAGTTTGGGGTCTCTGTGACCCGATGAAAACGTGGGAAGCTGCTGTGAATGGCCGCGTTTCGGAAAATATCCGGTGCTGTGTTATTCTAGAGAGGTTGTTGTTGGTCAAATTCTGATGTGATTTTCCGACTTAAACCATAAAGGATGGCATAGATAAGCATACATTTGATCCTTAAGCATGTAATACAATAGCACTTTTTCTTGAGTGTACATTTTAATCAAATAAAAGGAATGTAGTATGCCTCAGACAACTGTCAACATTTTCTTTGTTGCCTCGCTTTATTTTTTCACACGAGTACTGCTGTTGTATTGATCAGTTTGGACACGCGGCTGATTTCAAACTGCTGACTTACATGAACTCCTTTCTCGGTTCGATATCTCGTCTTTCACTTTGATCTCAAACCCTTTAATCTTAGCTTTTGCACTGATTTTTTTTTTGGAATAACAACGAAGCTTTAGGCGCCACCTCTAAATCCCTGCCCTTCAGCGTCCTGCTTTTTTTTTTTTCAAGGTTGAAACATATAATATCACCAAAAAAAAATGTTTCTCTGTAACACAAACTTTGGCACTTAATTAGTTCCACAAATCTGGTTTGAGTCTAAGTCCTTTAAATAACTGCTTCAGTCTGTCTTAATTTGGATTTAGTCAGTGGACCCAGACAAATAACGTCTGTAAGCATTTTGCTGTGTTGCATTGAGACTGACAGGAGCTTTAAAAATCTTAAGTTTATTTCGTTTTTTTAGCGTAAGATATGGCTCACAGTATAGACGTATCCACTGCACAGGTTTGACGTTGCCTGAAGAGTTCATTTTCGTGACCTACAGATATTTTTACACTTTCTTCCTTCCTGTCCGTGCTGTCAGAGAGTCAATGATCACGATGCAACAAATGAATGATGCATTTCAAGGGCAGGACATGACTTTGTTTCAAAATTGCTCGAAATGCAATTTCATCATGCCCAAAAAGAGAACTATTGTCTAAGGAATAAAAAAAAAAAAAAAGGAATAGAATTTTCTGGGAAGCTACTTCATTTTTCACAGCCCCGTTTATTGATTTTCCTTCCCACCAAAAACTTCAGTTTCTCCTTCTCTTGCGTGAATGTGTGTCTGTGGGCTCCTTGCTGAATAACCACTCACATCTCCCTCTCTCTCTCTTCATCACATCCTCCACTCTATTCATTTTGTTGTCCATCAAACAGTCTGATACAAGCCACCCACCTCTCTTCGTCGCGTTGCAAATGGTACTCATCCGCAGTGAGCACAATAGTGCAGAAGTGCCAGCTAAGTAATGACATTTACACACAGACTGTCCTCGGCTCCTGTAATCTATCAAATCTTTCTTCTCCAGCAAGAGGCACTGCCAGGCGTTTGAGAGGCACATTGACGAAATGCATGTACATATTTTGCATGGCTGGTTCGCTCTTTCGGTCTAAGCTGTTTACAGAGACGCAGGCTGGAGGCGGGATGCTGCACTCAATGGATATGCATATATGCACATACATAAAAAAAATAACAGTTGCCAGACATGCGAATAAAAACAGAATGCGAGGAAAGTCACTCACGTAAGCGATAAACATTTGCTCTTGAAAATCAATATTTTCCGGCTTACATGGGACCTGCTAGGTAAAGACTTGCAGATCTGAAGGATACAACAAATACATATGACAAAATATTACTTTGACTGAAGGCTAGAAATCCCTTCCTCTGTCTGTGTCTCTGCTTTTTATTGCTTGCTGATACAGGAATCTTTGCTTCACTGTGATTTGTTACTAGTCAGTAATTAATGAAATAAACCATAAACCTGCTAAAGGGGATTTTTATTTACTTGTTTTTTTTAATCCTACCAATTCTGGGAGAGCTTCTCTAACGTGGGAACATGATTACCTTGCATAACCTGTCGTAACCTGCGATCGTGCCTGTGCATAGTTCTGCTCTCGCTTCTCTTGGTTGAAACAAAGTTCATCTGCATGCGACAGAAGAGCTCAAAGCCGTGTTGATCTGCCTGCTTCTGCCAAAAACAAAAAAACGAGGTCGAGCTTGATATGAAGAGGTGAAGCAGGCGGTTTGTTGTTATGAACAGTGTCGTGTTCTGGTAGCTGGTTTCATTTTAACGTCATCGATTAGGAGATAAAGCTCTATTGGGACTAGCAGCTGGACTATTTTTGGGAATTTTAGGGTCAAACAAAAGGGATTTTTAAGCACTAAATTCAAGACAGTTGCATCGTCTGCGGATGGCGTTAGCAGGCACCTGAAGGACACCTGAACTGTGGCAAACTATTCACTGTTGCGGGGGTCAGAGTCGCCACGAATCAATGTGTGCTTTCTACAAATGGCACAAGTCAGGTGTGTTTCTGTGCGATTTACCTTTCACTGCGATAATTTGCTGAAAGATAGGCATTTCCAATTTACCCCCACAGGGAAATAATGGCTAAGTACAGGTGGTTGTTTTGGCTCAGTGATAGCTTTTGCCAGAGGGAACATGTATTTACCCAAGCCATCGATACACTGACATCACTGACAGCTCTCATTTATCTGAGACCTGATGGAATACCGTGTGTATTTGCTATTCATGTGTTTTATCTGGGTGTGTGTGTGTCCACAATTGTACATGTACGTTATTTGATAGTATGCAAATGTCTTTCGAGTTTGTGCAACGCGCAGGTTCACGTGTGTTAATGCGTGCGTTCCATCACATATCTCCCCGAATCAATGCAATTCCTCTCAGTAATCAATGTGTGTTGATGAGGTTTAGGTGGACGCATCTCTCAGGATTCAATAAGCCATACATGGCATTTTCTAGGACCGCCCTCCATCACCAATCTGTTTGCCTGATTGTGCACAGGAGAGAAGCAAAACCTGTTATCAGCATCACAATTACCTGCAGCCAATTGCTTGGAAAACCCAACAGCTGCAACTTAACAACTGGTCTATGAGTAAAAGAAAATAAAGAAAATCTCACATGTGAATGGCGCATAAACGTTGGCGATCGCAGAGGTGGTGGATGTGCATAAAGTGGAGCATAAAAGAAGAAGAGGGAGGGCATGAACGCTACACTAATGCCCTGTTCTGGCTGCATTTTGGTGGAGGGATGTGCAGCTGTAGTATGGAAATGTGAATTCTTAATTAACTATGAAGGTTGGCCAACGACTGCCTCAATTTTGTTGACACAGCTGCGATGTAAATCAATAATAAGACATAAAAGGAATCAGTAAGTTTAGGAATACACATGTTTTTACATTATTCATTTTGCACCACCCTGATATCATCATTATTTTGTATCAGCTCTGGCTAGTATGGATAACAAACCTATAACCATTAAAGATGGCTGACAACATGGCTGTATCTGACATGCATCCACTCAAAAATATAACCATATAATCAGGCTGTGGCAGCGAGCATGTCATTACTATAAGAGTCTGCTTTTGTGGTGAAGCTGTCAACACACAAAGCTAACTACAGAGGCTGTCGACCTTTGCTGTTTTCGAGGTTATTTCCCTGCCTTTACCTTACAGCTTTTGGATTACAAGGGCGAGCCATACATGTTGTCGCTTGTGTTTTCAGGACAGATGAGGCCATCTTCCATCATATTATGATAATATAGGGAGATTTTTAGATTAGCCTTTAAATACAGAATAAATACAGATTAGTAAAACAGACTTATTATGACGGCTGCAAGGTGGCTCGGTGGTTAGCATCGCTGCCTCGCAGCAAGAAGGTCACCGGTTCGCATCCCGGTGAGGACACCTGGGATCTTTCTGCGTGGAGTCTCCATGTTCTCCCCGTGCAGCGTGGGTTCTCTCTGGGTTCCCCGGCTTCCTCCCACACAGTCCAAAAACATGTTG